TAAATTAGAAACAGAAGAAAAGGTACATAAAGTTTCAGATAAATGGGCTATCAATAACAATTATAAAATATAAATTTTTTTTTTTTTAATCTAAATTTTGTCGGATTATTACCTTTATTATTTTTATTGTTATCGAAATTATGGTCGAAATGAATGGTATAAAAAATCGTCATCACATGTAAATATCACTTGTTACAATAATAAAGAAAATCATCTTACCGTAATTAGAACCAATGAGTAAAAAAAAAAAAATTATTGCGCTCAATAACGATAATGATAAGTAAAAAAAATTTTTTGGCTGGTTATTTTTGGTTTTGATTGTAGTATTTCTATTCTTTTCGAATAAGAAGGCGAATGCGCCTACATAATATGCCGGAATATTTTACGTAACATCCGGAATTTCCATGTTCATATTCATATATGAGGCGCATTTTCTGTGATAAAGACGAGGTTTCACTATAACAAATAATTTTAGAAATTTAAGTATGCACCTTGTTGAACTCACTTGATTCATAATAAGTTTATATAAGTTCCACATTGTAACACTGCCCGATTGACAGCTACTATTTAGGATTGCCCCTTAGTCCTGTAGTCGGACTCCTTTTTTTTTTAACTCATTTTTTATTAATATGCACAATTTACCATACATCCTGTTTGAAACAAAAAATTCTTTTCTTGTCATCGTTTTTCGTAAGAGATTGTCTTATTTGAGTATTGTTAAAATCACATAAAAATCCCCTCCAAATTATAACTATCCCAAAAAATATAAATACTTTCATTATATACCCTTGCTTTTACAATCTAGTTACATCATAAATTTATAACTTTGATTTCATGATGTCTTTTCTCGCTGATTTTGAGCCTGCTTTAATCCATTCTCGTTTTGACCGTCAACAAATACCCGAAAACAAATCTTCCAACAACGATAATAATTATACTAATATTGGATATAAAAACTATTGGAAGAATAGTTCATCTGTCTCTTTACAAAATACGATGACATCCCTTCCGGCATCTTCTTCACTAGCCTCTCAAAACGTTCGATATGATCGAAAGTATTGGACGGATAAATTGGTCACGTTCATTCTTATGATGCCTTATTAATAAGGTTGCGACTCAAACCTTTTATTACATACTTTTGAGTTTGGGAATCTGAATTTCTACTTCATTTGGGAAAATGCTTCCTTTTCGGTTAAATATTGTCAAACTCAAGAACTTAACTTTTCAAATCTGTTAAAATCAATGATAATAGATTATTAGAACTTTCATTATTTTTTATTTCTAGTTTAGAACTAGAAAGTAATAGTAATTTAACATCTTTGATTATTGACTTATTGATTGCCATATTATGATGGACAATTTTTTACGTTTTTATTTTGAGAAAAAAATTTTTTTTTCTTTCTTTCATCGATTCTTTACATAATATTGCATTTTCATTGTTGGGTTAATATGTGATCTATTTTTTTTTTCTTTGTATACGGGATATACATGTCATTACAAGGAACTAAAGGGTTAAACTTCAAATTTTCATGTAAATTTTTATTTATAAATTATTTCACTTGCAAGAGTTAGATTTTTTTGATTTGAATCTTTTTTTATTTTTCTATTATATTGAAAAAAAGTTTCAAATCCATATTTTAAACTCTTTTCAATAATAAATAAATAAATAAACAACGCATACGTATAACCAAATCTTTCATATAGTTTATAACATTGACAAATTTTTAGTTTTTTTTTTTTTTTTTAATGAGTTACAAGTTGGAACTTTTTAATATACACTTTATAAATGTATTATTATAAATTTTCTTTAATATGCAGTATACTGTAGTATAATTTATAAGCTCTATATATATAATATATTTTGCTTTTTATAAATGCATTTTTTTAAAGTGCATATTTTAGTGGTTGTTTTTTTACTAAAATTCTAAAGTGTATTTAAAAAAGTTTACTATATTCTGTTAATTATTACATTGTATATATTCTGTTAATTATTACTTTGTATATATTTTTTTTAATAAACTATATATATACTGTATATATAGTATAAATAAGAATTTTTTTTTTTTTATATTTTGTGATCTCTTGGCCGAAGACTTTTTATTAACAGATAACATTACAATTATGATGAAAGTACAACTAGCTACACGTGCACTTTTGGTGTCTAATTTAAATAGTCCTGTACCTGCAACTAGGAATGTTAAACAACTCGGTTTAGTCGGTTTTCAAGTCGGTTAGAGTCAAGTCATCTACATTTTACTCTTGATGGCCCATTTCGAATCGGCATTACTGAATAAAGCTTAGGTAACAAGTTCCAAATATTATTTAAATACTGATGCATAATAATAATTTATATTAAACCATAGGTATAAAATTAGTTTTTTGGTTCTCATAATATAAAATTTTAAAAATGACCTGGCAACCCGGCTTTAATTTTATTTTCAAAAAATTTTATATATAAAAAACAAAATTTTTTAAAAAGTTCACCTGGATAATAAATATAGTAAAAATTTTTTTTCAAAATTTTGTTGAATTTGACCCGGCCGGGTTATAAAATCCAATTAATTAAAGGTAGAGGGCATGTCGATCATTTTCGTATGTAGAAATATAGCATAGTGAACAAACCTAAATTTAGATGATCGACAATGTGGCTTAGTCAATTTAATAAAAAAAATTTTTTTCACTTTTTATATAGTTTAAAATACTTCGTACTCTCATGATTTTTCAAAACTTACCTGCTCCAAAAAAAAAGCTAGTGAAAAATCTTTACTTGGAATCTGCCAGGGCGACCCCCTTTTTATGGGTCACATGAAATCGTCGATCATTTCTGACCCAGATCCTAAGGACGATCCGCATTATAGATCACACGCTTTTTTAAAACTTTGATCGAAGGTATCTTAACAGTCACCCAATAAATTTCGATGAACTTT